TACCACTGCCGCAATATATTACTGCCAGTAGTTCTTTTTCGTAAGGGCATATACCTACTTGTTTCTGTAAATTTTTCTGCTTGGAAATGTTGGTAGAAATTTTTAAAAAAATCTTACAGCATGATTATTTGAGATTAAGTAAACCTTACATTTAAATTAAATTTAAATAAAAATAGATATTTGAAAAATTAGATATTAGATATATGTAAATTTTTCTGCTTGAAAATATTGGCAGAAATCTTTTAAAAAATCTTACAGCATAATTATTTGAAATTAAGTAAAACTTACATTTAAATTAAAGTTAAATAAAAATAGATATTTGAAAAATTAGATATTTGTATTGAAAGCCGCTGTTGACATCTAGATAGATTGGCTCAAAAGTTAGATTGTTCTTTCATAGCAGAATTCTTCTGCTAAAAAAGTGACAAAAAGTCATAGCTTCCGAAAATCAAATACTTTGATTGATGTATTCACACATTTTTTTAGTGAAATACATGTTCAAAACACACAAAAACAGCGACTTTTAATTCAAACATTTAATAGAATTGATCTCAATTTACTTCTGCATTTGAAATATTTTCAACAATTTCTTCTATAGGTTGTACATTTTTCGAAATATTTTCGACAGTTTTTCCTAGAGGNTGCACATTTTCCTTATTACATGTCTCTCTATCTGCTCCACTTATGGCATTAAAATCAGGTTCAAAAGATATTTGCTGAGAAGGCAATCCAGTAGATGTATCATTTAGCTGTAAATACATTTAAGAAGATATATTTAACCTATTTATTAACAATAAGATACATTAAAATTTATTAAGATACATTAGAAGTGATTCAATTATTATTTACCTCAATCTGAGAGCTATGTCCAATTTGATTTTTAAAATGTGAATCATTTATTATTCTTTTCCATACGTAGAAAAGGTTGTTGTCTTCAATCGAGCCTGTCCAGAAATCTGTACTGTTGTCTTTAAATTTTTGTAATGTTGTTGGTGGTATATACTTTTCAAAAGTCTGCACAAATGATGTATCATGTGAAGTGATTTCTACACTTTGTTGTTGTCTGTTTTCTTTCAAAAAGATTTTCGAATAATCTAGTGCTTCAGGTGTAAAGGGATGTAGTCCACAAGTTTTGAAGCCATTTCCTAAAATTTTAGGAAGATTCATGCCATCAAAGACTGTTTTTAATGTAGGAGCAAAGTTCTCTTTCTTCACGCTTAAAACTTCATTTTCGATCCTGTATGAATTTACATGTTTTCTCCAATGAGCTTTTAAAGGAGCAAACAAGCTTACATCTAATGGCTGTAGAAAGTGTGTTGCATGTGCAGGAAAAATGATCAATATTATTTCGTGTTTGTAACAGAACTGGGATAGAGGTTGTGTCAAATGTGACACATGTCCATCTAAGAACAACACTACAGGTAATTGGATTTTAGTTTTAAGAATCCAGGGGTAAAATTTATTAGCTATGTATTCATAAAAAAGCTCTGCTGTCATCCAGCCTTTTTCAGATCTTCCAATATGGAAATCTGTTGNTAATGAGGAATATATTGTTGGCGACACTCGTGCAAGTTTAAATAATATCATTGTTGGAGCTAATTCTCCAGCAGCATTAGCAGTTACTAAAACCGTAACATTTTCTTTATCATTATTTCCAATAATGTTGTACACGTTTTTTGTCCCTTTTTCAGCAAGAACAGTTCCGCTCTTTGGGTTTAAGAGCAAAGCAGTCTCATCTGCATTGAAAACTCTTCTAGAATCTATATTTTCAAGCTTTTTTTCTTTTAAAAAATTTGCAATATCTTTGAACCACTGTCTAATATTTTTTTCACTTACTAAAGCTCTTGAAAATGTAACACTCTCAGACATTCTTGTTTTTAATTGAGGATGTCGACGAAGGAATCCTTCATACCAGTGCCGACCAGGACGATTGTCAGTAAAAGGATGTAGCTTCTTTGATTTTTTTAGAATTATGGCGATACTGTTAATAAGATGCTCTTTTGTTATTGGACATCCTCGTGAACACATGCGTAAAATCCATTGCACTAAAGCGTTTTCCTCTTCTTCATTAAAAACTGTAGCAGGACCGGGTTTAGTAGATTTATATTTCTGAATTACTTTGCTATGCAAAGATGAACGCGGAATATTGTATGCTTTGCTAACGGAGTTAATAGATGCACCATTTCTTATTAATTCTAGTGCTTTGTTTATAACCTCTGCACTGTACGTCTTACGTACTTTCTTCTTTATCTCTCCGCTCATTATAAATCTTTTTTCTGTAATATATCTAAATAATATTTATTAATTACTATCTTTCATTATGAATAATTTTATAATTGTGAGTAATTTATAAACCTTATATTTCTAAAATACCTACCAATATGAACTGCATCACTTCATCATTTCACACTGCTTTCACACTGCTAGAAACAAAAGGTTACGTTTGACAGCCGGCTGAAGTACATAAATAGGGACAAGCCACGAAATCTTGTCCTTGTTTGTGAAAACACCATTTATTGCTAATAAAATGCTTTAAAGTGTCTTAAATTGCATTTTTTCGCAAAATCAAACCCTTTTCTTACGTAAAGTACATTTTAACTATTGTACATCATTCAATATTAAATATTATATACTTATAAACGGTGACTTTTCCTTAAGGTTTTGGACAAGAAAAGCCGGTTTATCTGACAAAATCATAGTATAAATTTTTAAAAAATATTTACTATACTTTATATGTTTATAAATGTAAAATGA